ATGTATCTCATAAACACTAACCTTAGTAGTAGTCCGTACCGTCACACTACATACGCTACGTTTCCAGTTAGCCATTCATAGATAACATACATGATAGTATAACTTATTTATTTGAATGACTAGCTTTCCACCCGCAGCTTCGCCCGCGTAGAGTTCGGTTATATCGCGTTTCCAAGAGAACCTTTCTAAAGTCTGATATAAAAACTATCCTGTTCTTTCTCAAGGTCAACCCCATCTTTGAACCAAATTTCATTAAAATCAGTTCAGTGGTTTAGGCGTGAAAGCGTAACAGACAGATAGACAGACAGACAAACAGAGTTACTCTCGCATTTATATAATATTAGTAGGGATAAACTGCGAACGTTCCGTACGTAGTGCGGACACGTCTTAAGATTTAAACAAGATATTCAGATAATATTTATTTCTTTAATTGGCATGATATATGACATCAATCACTTTCTTATAACAATAATATAATGTGTATCTTTATTATATACAATAACATGATAATTAATAATAAAAATATATGCAATTAACACAAATATTGACATTCTATCGTATACAGATACGTTATCTAAACGCGTCTTTTACTGGGATATTAAATGTAACTATAATTATTATGTCCTAACCAATATATAATTGTTGGCGTTAATTATCGTATGTATTTATACAAAGGGATACTTATTATATGTTGCTTATAGCTCGGTTATTTTTACTATGTTATATATGTATATACTAATACAGAACATATATAACCAGCGTACATACAATGAAATTTTTAATTTGAGACTTTGAAAACTATTATCAGCCTATCAGAGCCCACAGCTGAGCAAAGGCCTCTTTCTCACATAAACAAGATTTTTTACATTCATGTACTTTGATTTCATGTGATAAATTATATGTTTTTTTTATTGTTACTTTGAATGTAGACTAGTAGTAAGAACATATAATTATATGACCAATGTAATTTTTCTTCTATGCTTGAATGAATGAATGATAAGAATGAGTGAACTGTATGTATCATTCGGCACACCGCCAGCTAAATACAATTATATTCGTTTCGCTCGTCCAAGAATGACTCCCCAGTTGACAGATCACTGTACGTCTCATCTCCTGAGCGGTTGGATTGCATCTAATAAGCGTACCTTAAAGCTGCTTTACACTTGATAGTTATTTAATATGAAAAGTACGTCGGAAATCATTTTTAAGTTATAAACTATAGAAAAACGTAAAATGTTTTTCAATCTAACATATTTAATTTTATATAAACAAAGATATATTTATATATATTTAGTATAGTCTAATATAAAATAAATTAAAAACAAAATACGAGTGTAAAGAGCACTTAATAATGTAACATTTCAGCGCCCGCACAAAGTGAGGCATTGTGCCCTGAAAATTAACATGCACGCATCATTAAATTGATGTATACTATCAATTAACAAGTACCGCATCAAATTAATACAAGCATTTTAAATTATATAATTAAAAGCAGAGATCAATTACGTATAAATGTACCGTCGATGTTGGAACATTTGATTGTAATGACGCGTACGTGTAATTTGTTTGTGCTTAAGATTTCAATTAATTATTAAAGTTGAATCATTTAAGGAGATTACGTCATTACATTTATTGGAAGGAACTTGATACGTTTATCTTTTATATTTCTTTCTTACTTATATCTTTTATCTTTTTTTTTATTGAACTTCACCTGTTATACTATATCAATTATTTAATTATTTCCTGTCGTCCGTATAACTCTAGTCATACTTCGGTAATAATACATCATTTTCATCTTAAGATACATTTCTAAATAAAATTAGTCTATGTATAGTTCTTCTATGTATGCTATATTATAAATATATTTCATACAAATTAAAAGTAGTTCAGGCTCGAATATCTAATTGTTAAGGCAACATGGATATGTTTTACGTAAATTTAATTTCAATGTCTACTTGCACTTTAAATACATTATTATAGAAAATATGTTGTTGAGTTATAATATAACAAACATATAAACATACATATATAATATATTAATATTAGTATGAGAAAATGCGGAGAACGCATTTAATTTAAGACAGGATCACTGTACTGTAGTATCTCCGGATAAACAAGTTCTCAATTAACTTTGAAAACCGACAAATTTATAATACGTTTAACGGCTTCATTCATTTAAAAGAATTCATATATTAAGATTTACATTCATTTAATTAAAAACGTATTTGTTTAATTCATTATGCTTAATTTTGTTTAGAATTCAAGAATTATTTTTTATTATTGTTTTATATGTATAACTTTGAATTTCTGGTTTTAAAAATTAACACATTTTTGTATATTTAAATAATAATGAACAATTAAATATATTGTTATTTTACACTTGTTTGGTTAATGATTAGTAACTTTTTTTATTGACAATATAAATAAGGATTTCAGGAGTTTCTTGTTATGTATTTTACGCATTTGTACAATTTCAATAATTTTTCTTTTTTTAATGTATGAAATTCTAAACCGAGGCTATCTGAAGTGGGAAATGAAGAGGTGAATTTAATATTTATGAGATACATTTTGAAAAATATCATAATACCTTATATTAAAACATGTTTCATATACATACATTTTTATCTAAATAATTGTACTTTTAATATTTTTTAACCAGTAGTACAGATTTATTTAAAACTTGCATATCCCTCTATACAAAATTTTATTTTTATCCAAAAGATACAGATAGTAAAATATTTCGATTAGCCGCAAAAAGTTTTAATATAAATGATTAAAAAATATAAAAGAAACTAAATACAATATATTTTTCAAATCTTTCAACTAATCTTTAAAAGAATATAAAAGATTATAACATCGAACGTAATATTTCAAGTATTTCAAACAACCAAGTAATTTATTAATTAATATTAATAAAATCTGATTTTATCATTTGACTTATATAATTTCAATTTGAATCATATTACAGATTATGTTTTAATAAATAGGACATCGCCGCTGTAGGTAGAATATGAGTTGTGATAAAAATTGTTTTTGATGGCCGATTTAGAACCAAAGATCATATACAGGGCGTTACAAAATGTAACATCACTCAGTTAGAATATTTCTAAGTCGTTTATATATATCATGTATAATAAATGAACGCTTCAATTCATAATCATAACACACTGTATGTATCACTATCAGTATTTGACCGACCCCGCTATCATATAATTAAGTTTAATGGGCTTATTTAAATTAGTGCTGAATGGTATGACAAAAACAATTTTATATACAATCAATGTAGCTAATTAAGTGAGAGCATATGACCTACATTTATATTTAGATTGATATATTAAGCTTTATATGACTGTATACATCTGTATATGTCTGTATATAAACGATAAAATAATTCTTAGGCCTAGAATAATACTAAAAATATATATCTGCTTATATCAATTATGTTATAAATGAGAAAGAGTTCGTGTTTGTGTGTATGTATGTGTTTACACTATAAGGCAAGATTACATTGATATAAAAAAAGGCAAAAACAATAATTTTACTACGATATTTATTCAGCTGTATGGTAACTAGTTCCCCTTCATCTTATATCATTGAGATATATAAATACATATATATATTAAGACATTTTATTATAATTTATGTTTGACGTGTCTATTTTTCTAGTCGTCTATTAATACCACATATATTTGGATCCATACTACAATGTGAAACATCTTAATCACCGAAATAATTTTGGCATGATAATGTTTAGCTAAAATGTGATTTTAATTTATATATGAACTTTTATATCATCTTCATCTCAAGAAGCCTATCGCAGCCCACTGCTGAGCAAAGGCCTCTGCTCACATGGACAAGGTTAAAGCATTAATCACAACGCTTGCTCAAGACGGAATGGCGATTATAAACTTATAATTTAAAATCATAATTAGATATTATATAATAATTTTGATATACATAACGTTAATTAATTACCTGATCTTTTTTCTGAAACCTCTTTGTCAGAGCTTCCGTGCAGCTTTTTCTTAGGAAGTAAACTATTCATTTGAGGTTCATTTTCTAAAAATATAAATATAAACTCGTAAATAAATCGAATTTAAAAGAGGTGTGAGCTCTACTAGCAATATAGGTAAGGTATCTTTTAAGAAATATGTAATGTAAATGTATGTATATATGGCCTCCATATTATATATTTATTTGATTGTAAATCGGTCAAGAAAGAATCATTTTCATAGGACATCATTCAACTTTCAGCACTTAAAACATCATTTGTTATTGAAACTATCATATGAATGAGTTTATTTCATTCTAATTATTTTTGAAGTATATTTTCATTTGAAAATCTTTGTAAAATACGTTTAAATCGATCTTAAACGCTTCCTTGGGAAACTAGCGTCTTCAAGGACCATATCCTCAAGGTCAATAAGTATTACGAACTCACTATGAATAGGCTCATCATGGATTTGTACGCGTTAGAAGTGGGAGCGAGAGGTATAACAGCGAAATCTCTCTATAACCTACTAAAAGACTTGGGCCTGACCAGAACTTATAACATTTAATTCTTAGAACGTACTTCGAAAGCAGCCCTAATAGGTTCGTTAACTATAGGTGTGTTAAATAAAAGCGTGTCATAGTCTCCACATTTTAATATGTTCACTAGAAATACAAATGTCAATTTACAAATAAAATAAAGTTTATTTACAATTTAGAATGCTACAAGTCGAATCTTTTATTATAATTTTTGTACTAAAAGAAATAAAAAAAAAAAACAATAAAATTTATAATATACAATTGTTTGGTAATATATCAGAATATTTTATAAAATAATACAACTTTAATCAATTAACTTACGCTATATTTACAATAAAACAAAATTAAATACAATTAATAATCTAATTATAACGTTAAAGTAAGATAGTTTTATTCGAATTGTTACCGATTAAAATTCATTTGGATAAGGTCTTTAGGATTTTGCAATCTTATTGTTATATATATAAGGTTCATTGTCCGTTTGTCTGTGTGTTCGGTGAAGGGGATCCCGGTGATTGCATAGTTAAGTGCGGCATCATTGGTGGTAAAGGTCGACCCATGAGGTGATGGGGGAAGTATTGCTGTAATGGATGCGTGTACATATGATGAGGATGACGCGCAAACTGTGCCATCTTCAACTTTTCTATCTCGGCTTCTTGAACACGTTTTGCTTTCGCCCTACGATTCTGGAACCAGATTTTCACCTGCGGATGGAATTGTTTGATTAGTTGAGAAAATATCCACTATTATACTAAAATAATAACGATTATGTAGTACATTATACCTATATATTTAGAACAGACGAAAAATTATGATTATGATTATATTATATTTGATTAGTTGAGAAAATATCCACTATTATACTAAAATAATAACGATTATGTAGTACATTATACCTATATATTTAGAACAGACGAAAAATTATGATTATAATTATGATTTATAAACCGCTAGTATACTATGTAAAAATTCAATGAAAACCAACCTGAGTCTCCGAAAGGCCGAGTGATGATGAGAACTCCGCTCGCTCAGCAATGCTCAGATATTGCTTATCAACAAACTTGCTCTCCAGAGCACGTAATTGTTGTGCAGTAAACGGCGTCCGTGGCTTGCGATTCGGCTTGTGCTTACGCAAATTGCACTTAAGCTTCGGCGGCTCCCCGTTAGCATCTGTTGGAATAAAATATAATCAATATAAAAAATATTAAATCACAATACTGTCGCATAACATAGAACTTAAAGACAATTTGAAATTATAATGAGCTATTAGTTTATTACAACAGAGATTGTGATCAATAAATTGCATTTCAATTTAAACATCAATAAATCACTAATAATTGTTGTTTATTTGTTGTAACTTATTTGTTGTGCTGTATAGTTCGCGGTGTATGTCTTATAAGGCGGCCATATTAAATGAAAGCCTACATCTCAATAAGCTAAGGATCTCGTGGAATGTTCGACCGTTCGATAATAAATCGAATACAAAACAAAGAACGTATAACAGATAACATCTAAATGATATTGTTTATGTTTATATATGACAATTAATTAATATGAAATAACTATATATGTATTTTTAATGTATTATATAAAGCCACGTATATATTGGTTGGTTTTATAGTTATAGCTTCATATTTATTGAGACCTTGATGACGCTATGAAGCGTCAAGCGATTACTTGATTTAATTAATTAGGAGTTATCAGCTAATGGTGGTAACAAAAAGATAAACACATTGACGCAGCCCCATTCATAAGTTGACGTACAGCTAAGGTTAGCCCTGATTAACAAGGTCACTTACAAAACAACTTTAATACTAACGACGATTGTACTAATCTGATAGATTTATATATACGAAATATATTAAAAACTGCTTATAATAGCTTCGTTTGAGTAATAAATAGTAATGCAATAAAATTACCATGAAGTAACGTAATACATACATATAAGTTTATAAGTGTAAACATTAGTAGATATAGATGAATTTGAGTTATTTATTAAGTTTTAATCTGGCTTTAATTCCGATCTTCCGAAATTTGCCAAGAAAATTTAGTCCAAAGCTATGTCCATACAAAACTTTATTCAAAACAGTCTATAAGCTATTACGTGATTTACAAACAGACAGTTCACATGAACATTATTAAACAGTCATTATTACAATGATAAATACTTAACAAATGTTTACAATTTCAACATATTAATCCTGTTGTCAAACACGACTCGCTTACTAGCTAATGGCCCACAAAGGCTGGTTAAAGTAAATTATGTGACAACCAAAGATCGAGTATTAATGTCGTGTAAGGCGGATGTCAAAGCTGTGCTGAAAATAAAAATAAAGCCACCTGCACACCGGCGTCGGGCAGATGATGTACAACAATAGTCCATACCATTAAACATACAATATATTCACTGTGAGAATTCTTTAATTGTCGCAAATTCGAAAAGTTTCGAACATGTGTAGAATTCCTTATATCCGAGTTTAAATTCATTTGAGAGATGCAGTGTTTCACATTTAATTGTTTGAGATAGTCGTAGTATGCAGATGGCGAGTGTATTATATTTTAGCGTTGAAAGAATTACGATACGTTTTAAAACGCGTCTATTGTTGGACATTCTTGATTTATCACCGAATATTTGGGATGTCGCATTAGTTAAATTGACGGCTTACATTCCTGTGCTGTACATATTTGAATATAAAGAAGGCCGCATCACAATAAATTTAACCAAATACGACATAATATTAGAAGCATTATCATTTTATTTCTATTTCCTAAAATATCCTAAGAATTGCTGTCTAAAGCAAATAAAAAACTTTCCTCGTCGCAAAAATGGATTTTATAATAAAGCCATTAAAACTTAATGAATAAAAAAATGTTTGAACAGTAGCACTTAGAATTTACACATTATTTTTTGATACAATAACTAAAATTTCAAAACCGAATATTCCACATAATATAGAAAATCTGATATTATTAAATAAATACATTTTATATATTAATAAGTGTTTATTCTTCTGAGTATCATTAATCGTACAACACCGAGCGTGTCATTCAGTCTTAATCAAATACGTCTTTTTGTAAATTCTCGCGGTTTTAGTTTTACAATGTCTTAATGAGTTTAAACGATTCAATTATGTTGAATATTTGCGAGCTACTTATATTAAATCTAAACGTTTTACTCGGCTGTTGATGATCAACTATAAACTTATCACCATTATCATCTAATACTAATCATCTGCCATAAATATACTATTAACATCTATAAAAGTGATATATGTATATATCTATAAGAACAGAACTATACAAAAACAGTATTTTTTATTAATTTCACCCAACAATAAATTGTATATGTGTCCCGTAGATAAAAATCAGTGTAAAACAGTTAAGGACTACCGAAAGCGCCATATTTATTGGACGATCAAAAGAAATGGCACACGGAGCCATTCATCAGGGAGAAACGTTTTATCTGGCCATGGAATACGCGGAAGACTTTAAGAGATTCCGTTTATACATATATTATAATAATACAAATGTTTTTATAAAGAATATATTAAGTATCGCATAGGTACTTAATTTATTTAAGGAGACAGGCGGATGTCTAATTTAATAACATTTACCATGCGAGCTAGAAATGAGTAAAATTTTACATATTATTATTATTTTTAAGTACATTTATATGATATATATATCGGTGGTTAGTTCTTATACTATCCGTATCCCGCTAGTTCCGTGGCCACAAACATTTGACTATTTAAGTATAATTTTAACCCAGCAATACAAATAGCTCTATTCAATGGCACATTAGTACTTGGCTATACTCCAGCTCACTACACGGAGCTGTCCAGGACAAAATGTAAAATTCAGTTGAATTACTCAAACTGAACTAGATTTATAGGTTTTAACTGTCCCGTCGAACAACCAAAAAGCTAATATAAATCTCTTTTTTCTCCTACAACGATATATTTAAAGTTTATTTCAAGAACGGTGCTTAATTAAATCTTTAAACGGGCTTGTCAGACAACTATTTTTGCTGTCTGTACACAAATAAATCGCTTTGGTTGCGCGGTAATTGATTGGGAATGCTTCTATAATTAGGAGCGCGACTTACAACTGACTTAAAAGACATCCGAGTTATAAAACATAATATAGCAATTTTTTAAGTTACTACTTAAAATGAAATTGTGTATAAATTGAATTAAACTTTTTATCTTAACGTATTTCAAACTCCAGACAAATAAAAACATATACATAATTTATCGATGATTTTAATACATTTACCTGAACGAATATAAGTTGAAAATAGCAACAACTTTTTGTTTGAATTTTTTTATCACAGTGTACATTATGCTTACTTCAAGTTAACTCACACTACACACGTAGCGTTAACAGTTTAACATACACTAATCACCACACATTATAGTATTAATATATACTATTGAATGAAATACGGGAAACGTAACGTATGTAGTAATGACGCAAAACTTGTGTTAAGAATAGTGAAGAAAAAGTCAAAATACTAAAAAAAACTTCTATGTTCAAAGTATACAATACTTTTATACTTTCTTCCATAAATCACTGCTACTTACAGTATCTCACACATTATATTCTATAATAAACAAATTATATTTTTCCTATACTATTTATTACATATAAATACAAATAAGGAAAACGGATGCAAAACTCAATTAATTATATATTAAATTTTAATTAGAATATTGATAACGTTGTTAAAAACAATAAATTAATGGATTTATTTATATTGATTATATATTATTATAGAATTTAACCTAAACTTATTCACTTTTTACTTTATTACATGTTCTTAGGAATAACAATTTGATTTTATTAATCTTAATAAAATTCATATCACTTTTGGAGTTTTTGCGTGATTAAGTAATGTGTGCGTTACACATTACGATGATATGAAAAATAAAGCTATAATATCAATTAATGATAATTTGATGAAGAGTTGATCTCAGCGGGGCTTCCCCTCCCACGCCGAATAATGTTTTAGAACGATAATCATAAAAAAAAAACAAAGAATTTTTGGGTATTATTATAATTAATACAAATTAATAATTATGCCTTTAAACTTTTAGGTATAGGCACTTTCAAATCTACATACTAAAGTAAAGCCTTAATGGAACTTACGAAAAATATAACACGTTTAAATCAGACTCATATGTTAATAGAAAATTAAATAACCATATAAAAAATTTATTGCAAAATAAATTTTATTTATGGCGTTCAGCGACAACATTTCAAGTGATTTAAATCGGTAAGAATAAAGCCATACGATAAATCCGTTTAATTAAACAGCCACTATCGAATGCCATAAACATATTTTTTTTCGCCACAAACGGCTGTAAATAGCGGCATTAAAATTAGCCATAATACAACACAAAACATCTTGACAGTACAAGGAGTGTATTCTGAAAGCATTAGCGGATTTATCGCCGCTCCCAAAATGAATATTAAAATTTTGTTTCCAAGAAACCTGTCATAATTTACGATCCGAACACAATGCCTCGACCCGATGACAAATTAACGTATACGATACGGACGATTATTATAATTATTACAGAAATATATCACATGTTACATAATAAGTCCACTTGTTTACAGACATATAGAATTTAAATGTTTTTAATATTAATTAAATTGAATAATTTTGTTTTATTTGAAGTTAACATGAAACAGAAGTTAGAGAGATGGCTTGTGAATCTGTTAATATTTTACATAATGACATTAGTAGTGACGTGTCTATCTATAACTCATCTCTGTTCTAGTGAAGAAACAATTAGTTTCGTCAGCCAATATTAATGTTATATAGATTATTATCTAACATTTAAATATCAAAACGGCTCGGTTCTCGTGAATTCGCTTATCTATGTTAATGATGTAGACTGAGCTTAATTTATTCAATGATTATGAGAAAACTAATTTTTATAAGTCGATTTTTAGCAAACGTATATATAAAATATTCTTCGTGAACTTTATAACGATTAAAAAATAATTAAAACTTAATTAGCATAATGCAAATATGATTTACATATTACGAAATAATAATAAATTTGAATAAAATAAACAGAATTGGATACAAATGATCATTTAGATGTGTTAATTCGTTTGAAGAGTCATGGATTCAATCTACTGACTTGTGTCGTGACAGGGTACAATCTGCAAAAAAAGAATTACTAGAAGTGCGTGCTTTAATGGCATTTCTAATTGGTTTCATTCATTAGGAATAAATAAAGAATTTATTGTATTAAGCCTCATTAGTATGATAACTCATTACCGAAACAATTTTGATGAAGTTTTAATTGCGCAAAATTTATAATCCATTCAATTCGTCTTCGTACATTCGTTGTTCGTTCATTCGTTCAGTCTGGTCGTCGCTCGCGTGTGGCATCACGGCTCATTTGTTGAATGGTCAAAGAGCATGCCACTCGTAACTTACTTAACTATTACCCTGACGTACTTAAAATTCGTATTGCAGGAGTTCATTGTCTATAAAACATAGCAGTTCTGCGAACATCTAAAAATATATCCAGCTTCCTTTGTTGTCGACACGCTAAAGTATACCTTATATGTATGGTGGTAAGGCGATGGGTTACACCAATTACCGTGATTGTTTTGCGGGCTCTAATTTGCTCTTGCAGGAAGTGCGGATGGCGTGATGGGATCCCACTACCGTATAATCTACACTTGTGATGTTATCTAAAGATTTATTACGTTCTGTCATCGCTCGCAAGATGGCAGCACGCGTCAATTGATGCGACGGAATTATCTCTGAGACAATCGATTCTGAACTCTAATATATACAACATAAAAGCGTCATTTGTTATGGAATTTCCATCAACGGGAAGACCTCCCAATGTGCGATTTTAATTTTAATCTAATAGCTACAAATAATAACGAAAAAAATGTATATATAAATATAAGCGAGTGTCAGTGAACTTACGACAGCTAATTGACGTGCTTTTGAAATGGAATAATAGAATTAATAACGCAATCGAGACATTCGATCGAGCGTTTCGCACGCAAACGAATCGATTAATCGCTCGGTTACACCGCCGAAACGGCAGGCGGAGCCGCGCGTCAATGAAATACATGTAAAACTATCGCGGAATGAATTAAAACACATGGCGAGCCAATTAGGGAAGGCAATCGAGCGAGTATCGAATGAAAAAAGACATTAAAACACACGAACAAGCCATATTATATTATAATACATACAGCTTAAGGTATCTATTACTCTAACTGACAACACAGTAATAGGGGCCTCAAGTTGCTAACGAGTGTTTGAGATAAAGTTTACAGTTAACCGATAGACAAATATGGACATATTTATCAGTGAGTTTGCACTTGCATTTATTTGTAATACACCACTAATGAGAAACATATTGTAAAATTAACTATATTGTAATAACATAAATTATAAGTTTATATAGAATATTTTTAATGAAGTCATATAGGAAACAATTATTAAGATAAGCGAAAAAAAAAACCACTAATCAAATGAATTGAAGCACGTCCATTTTGTATTAGCAATTTAACAACGTAATAGTGTATTATGTGAGATCGTAAACAAATAGGAAAATAAGTAATAAAGTAATGACGGTATTAACGCGTGTTTAAGTAAAACACTAGCAGGCATTGTGATAAGGCTGTGGAAACTATGGGTTCGAATACGAGAACAGTATTCATACAGGCTGTTTCAATTACCGATTTATTATTGGCTGTTCATTGTTACCAAATTACATTAATTACGTATTAAGATTAAAATGCCTGCCTAGAGAGTATATTACTTTTATTAAACTGAAAATAGTCTGTTTGATATAATATATGAAACTTATACGTTTATGATTTTTATTGAATTTATTTTTATTCTTTAAATGATTGATTGTTGATGTTTTTATTATCTGTATTATTGCTGTCAATGTCAAAGTCATTGGCGGTAATTTTTAAATTTTGAAATAAATATTTCGCCATTATGCTAATTGATATAAATAAAAGTGTAAAACAAACTAGGAGCGCATTCAAAGACTAAGTAGAACCACGTAAGGAGATTACAACTACTTGTAAAACTAACGCTTACTTCACTGCCTACCACGAGACACCTTTAATCCTGTACTATATTAATGATAATAATAAAAAATAAATATTAATAAATCGATTATTTATATCACCGGCATCCCCGCAAATAAAAAGTACAGACAATTACAATTCATTAAGCGATATAAAAAAAAACTATCCAGTTAATTCTGAATTATTTGTGATAGTGTAGACACGTTTGACATATTTACGACTGTAGTATAAAAGCAAAAAATTATAGTTAATTAGTTGAAAAGTGAAATAAAACTAGTTCGTGACTGCGCGCCATTACTGAACATGGGACTGCCATTGCTATGCTCTTTAGCACTATCGCAAAACAATGCATACATGTTCATTGAAACTTTGAATATAAATTACGGCTTATTAATAATTTCCGAACGCGTTTTTTTTTAATTTCACGACGATTTTGAGCTGTCAATGTCATTTAGATGACGTTAATGATTTTATTATAATTTGATATTGATTTTTTTTTTGAAGTTTCATAAAACGATAACGATGATTGGAGCTATTCTGAAATAATCTAATAATTTTTTAACGTTATAAACACACGCGAATTTTATTCGAGCATGCTAACAACGATTTATGGTATTGCTAGTTTTTTTTTTGCGGTCTGTGAAATCATGGTTTTGGAATTTCGTCGTTGGTACAAATTTTTCCTTCCAACATTAACCGTCGGCAGATTATAATCATATGTGAATTTAATACTATTTTTAAATACAAATATATTTTTATTGTAACTTATTCTAGATGTAACTTGAAAACGATTGCTCACAATGGGACTGTTATTTTTACTAAATAATATTTTTTCTATTAAGATAATTTCTAATTCTTACAAGAAATGTTATATAAACATTAATATTTAATGAAATATTATAAAAATCATACAACCATAGAATTTAATTTTAATAAAGTTTTTAGAATATAAAACAATTATTAGATAGGTAGGTACTTATTTTTTAAAAACAAGTTAAAAATACAACTAAATATATTTTGCGTATAAACAATACTTTCTTCTATAAAGTTTTACTATTTTTAATTACAACGTATTTGAAAACGAGATGAAAATTTTGTTCGACTTTCCGTGATCACGGTTTCTCTAATTAAAAATTACGTTAAACTTATAATAGTTATAATATTCATAAAAAGGGATTGATATCCGAAAACCATTCTATTTTAAATAAATTAAATAAATCACGACGAAATCTTTTTCATAATACCGGATACGTATAACGATGAAGAATATTAATATTTTTTATAATTATGTAATAATAAGGAGGTTTTGTTTAAATAATTATATTTTATTTGATCATAATTCACATGATAATACTATTGTAATTAACGTTCGTGACTGTGGGAATACGTTCGATACTAGTTTTTATAAACAAACAGATAAAAAGAAAAAAATTAAAAGAAAATATTATAATAATATAATTATTTCCATACACGTAATAATATTAAATGTACCTGTATATTATTTAAATAGCAACATAAGTTTATTATGCAAAGTCCCTCCATGTTTATAAATCCGCCATCTTAAAGATATTGTTTTGTAAGTTGTGATCCGTTATTTGTGTAAGGCTTTAGACCCCAGATGTTAACCCGACCGGTTATAAAGGGTTAAACGATCACTGTTCTCACAACGCCCTACATATTTTGGATTTTCCAATAAGACTCGCCTGTATTATAGGTTTAAATTAATTAATTCATTTTATATTTACTCGTTTAAATGATTTTTTGACTTTTGGAATGCATACATTTCTGAGATCTATTAAGATTTTAAAGATTTATGACGTAACTTCCAATAGGCTGTTAATGAGATACTTTATTCTAATATAAAAACTCAAGCGAAATTAAGAAAAATATTCGACAAAATAATCCTTTATGTGTAACGAATCCTTAAAATTATAAAAAAAAATCAATAGTATTAAGAACCTTTTTATATCAGTTAAAAAATTTGTTATATGATTGTTATAAACTATAGATATACATATGTATATGAAATCTAATATATATGTTTATGATAATCTTGATTTGTTTTGAAATAATATTGTACTAACAAAACGCAAATAGGTACACGTCATTTACAAAAGAACAATATTTAGAAAACTTTAAGGAGATTCGAGTGTGAAATATTATGAATAATAATTAAAAATATATTGACAATATCAATGATATACTATAGGTACTACTACTACTGCGAAAGTAAATAAAAATTGTATATGTATATATTATACACTATATAAGAGTATTTAAAGTAGATTAAATGCAAACTTTAATAACACATAGATATCAGAATGACATAATTGAGTATATTAAGAATTATAATATCGTTAAAATATTCATTCATTCATTCATTTACTCGTTCAAATAAATAAATTCATATTAATATTTGAATGTTTCAACACTAATTGTACATTAATATTTGTATGAAATAATAATAAATACAATTATAAATTTGTACAAAATAATACGGAATTAATTGCCAAACATTGCTAATTAACTACAATGTTATGCTTAATTAATTAATATAAGAATATTATTATATATTAATTAATAGTATCACGAGATAGATCGATACTCAGCTCGTTATATGAAAACAATATATTGTTTGAGAGAAAATATTATATAATTTAATGAATGCGAAAGAAAAGTATATTAAGAAATGATTGATGATTGTTTAAAGAGGCCGTCGGTATGCGATCTTATTATAGGAGACTTAATTTTTATAATAATTTTATAGGTTTTATGTAAATATGAAACGGACATATTGAAAATAAGTTACTAAGAGATGTATTGTGACAGAATGAAGTAATTTTATGTTAACTAAACCGATGATTATAGTAAAGTTATCGGTTTAAAAATACAGTTAGTAGATATAATATAATATTACTAACCGGTAATATGTCCAACTGGGAAGTGTGATTGGAACATCGGTCCGAAGCTTGGCACTACAGATGCCGGTGCGGGCCATGTGAGGCTGTGGTACGCCGCCGCTGCTGCAGCCAACGCGCTGAACGGCGTCGGCCGAATAGGACCCAATCTCTCCTTATCCACTCTCTCATCATCATCACTCTGAAGACTATTCTGTAAGTCTTCGACATCCACTATCGAGTCCTCCTTCACGGAATCTTCGTACTCCTCATCTGAAGACGCTGTTACGTTTAAGTTCAGCGGCGGTGTGATTGAAGCCGGTCGCGACAGAGACTTCCCTCCAGGTAATTCAGGCTGTGAGCCTGGAGATTGTCGTAACGGTGACTCCGATATAGTCAGATGATGTCTCAACATCTCAGCGGTGTCATTCTGCTTCGTGTCAGCCAGTATAGACGCTACGCTGAAACTTATCCTGGCCTTAGGAGGTTCGGTTCCTTCCACAGCACTGCTCTGATACTTGGAGACGCTCTGTATCGCCATATTAAGTTCTGTGTCCTCTAATCTTTGTTTCTTTAACATTGAACGATCTCTCCCATTCACATAACTGGTTCGTGCGGTGTACGCATGCGGGCGCGTCCGTCGGTTGACTGGCTTGTGTAGCGAGGGGTCTCTCCGCGGCTGGTAGGAGGCGTGCCCTACCAGCCCCACCAGAACTACAAACATCTCTCTCAACCAATCGTCCGTCCTTTACCGAATTGATCGCGGTAGGAGCGATTTAGCACGCTCTTATCTCGTTAGTATCCTTTGTGAGTTGATATATTTTTTTTCTTCTCTGTGTTGGAATCAAAACATAATTACCTTTTGTAGGGCCTCGCGTTGTGATCGCACTTTACGTCCGACTATGAAGTATAAAAATATAATGAGATTGTTGCTTGTTAAATCCTTTTGAGAGATCCGGTGCCCTTTATGAGATTAGTTCTGCTTTTGGCTTTTGGCTGTACTCGGACTGTTTGAGGTCCCGTTTCAAATTAGCCCAAATGATTTACAGCCCGTAGTGACATTCGCTTGGGTTATTTATTTATTTTATAATCAATTAGTTCAATTATTACATATATTTGTATCTTTTTCCGATATTTTTTTTATGTTTGTTTGTTGTCAGTAGTTTTATATTATTGTATTTTGTATATTAATCTATGCATATAGGTATATAAACATAGATATTATTTTACCATACCATTACAATAAAATAAATACACTAGGCTTTAATTGTAATATATATTGGTTACTAAATCGTTTGAAAAACACTAATCCCTTTAGTATGAAACTCTACCATGTATATAGATGATATTGAAGAGTCACGATACATCTGTTAGCTGTTCATATAACGCGTACCTTAAATACTTTAAAGCCAACATGGTTCACTAACAAAATAAACAATATCCTATCACTTCACACTCGGCTTGCTATCAAAGATAAACGAAGAGGGGACTTTCGTATTACTATGAATGCCCTAATATTACGGTGTGAAAACTTAGGGTATGCTATCCCTTTCACACACACACATAAATATATAACTCTCTCACTCTAACAGTAATAGTTGGTACTAAATAGGTATTTAGTATTCGGAAGGGAAGTTAATTATGGGGTGAGCAGAAAAATGGCTATAAATGTTGATATGAACAACCCTATTATTATTGATATAAGGGTCAGAATTGTTTATTGATTAATAAGTTTCTGATTGCTTCGGATATCCGTCAGATTTATGATATGATATGATATGACGTTAATAATGATAACACTAACTTCATTAATAACAATCTAATGCTAATATTGTTTATTGTATTATATTACATATATATATGATAATAAAATATATATAGGTGCTTTATATGTTAAAAATCTATTTAAAAATATAATATATGACCAATATTATGTCCATCGTTATAAAACATTTGTGGATAATTAACTGAAAGGAAAGATAATTAACAAGCATGTAATGTATCCGAAATGTTCACGTGTTGTATCCAAATGACGCGCTATAGTTGACATAGCACCAAATATAGAAAAAGAATCCAAGGAATGCTGTACAATGATTTAGCGTCTCATATTTGTAAATTCTCTCAGTGAAGCAAAAAACAAGCCCTCCATATGCAAGGAGAATAATATATAAACATTTATTATTAATAAATTAAACATCATTTAAAAAAAAACCTTAAAAATAGCTCCATTAATAACAACAGTAAATAAAATTTTAAGATGATTTTTAATTTAAAAGGATCATATTTCGAATTATATGTTTTTATTAAGACGAACTAACTTAAGCCTAAATAAAATATCTTCTTAAATTGTTTTGAAAACATCAAATATAAATGAAATATATATTATTTTTGACATAAATTGCATTTTCTAAATTCCTGTACACACCTGCGGGCGATTAACACGAATGTCAAAATAGAATTCTACACTAAAACATTTGCTTCCCTATCAAGACGCATTAGTGTACAGGCACCCTTATGTCACATGGCATACGTCATCAAATGTCATGGGACTTTGTTTTTTTTGTAACTCCTTAATTGCTTCGGAAGTTTAAACTTAATAATTATCGATAATAGCGTTGCGTAATCACTATTAAATAAAAATATACAATATATTATTTCGTTGCAATTATGTTATGTTAGAATTAAAATTAATTTTTATATAGATAATAATATATCAAGAGGAATATTAATTAAATCTTAAATTCAATGACTTATTACCTTTTTTATGTTATTCAAAGCTTTGCCTTTTGATGCTTTAAAAACACTAAGCCCTGATCATATAGGAATATACTTATAAAACTTTAACATATTATTTCAATGAGAAAAAATGTATTGTTAAAAAACTATCGATATCTCTAAAGGTCATCACTATATAGTAATATGTCTATTAACGACACCGAAACATACAATTTGTAATCCAATAACGAGTCGTATTACAAATGTCATAAATCATATTACTTTTTTTGACGAACAGAAAAAAAAATGGACCCAGCAAAACTTGTGCTAATTGACATTTTCCTACTTACTTTAATTATAACGATATGTGGGAATGATTTATTGTAATATATTTGTTTTGAATAAGAACTATCAACTAATATATTATGCACATTTTCAATAATAAAACCTTCTTTAATACATTGGCTGCAAATCATAAACTATTTTCTTTTAATTATACTTTTTGACAACTGTCATTACGAAACTTTTGGCGCCATATTTTTATTATCTATTAATAAATGAGCATAAATTATCTGGTAACGGATTCGAATTTCTTGTTTGATTTAAGAGATCTTAATGAATGTTATGTTTTTGATGTTTTAATGCACAGTCCTTTTTCATTTTTAATGTAGCCATTAGAATGTCTGTAGCACACATTATACATCCATTATGATTAATGAAGAAGATTTTTAAAACAATTTATTTATATTCATTTAGTGAGTCCTTTATTCCGTATTTTATTTTAGAATAATAAAGGGATGTTTCTCATAGTCGTGCTTTGAAACTAATTACGATCCGACGCCATATTTGTAACCAAAGTGTCGCTACTGGCGCGGCTGTACAAAAAAAGGACCTATTTGTTCGATTTCACTAAGGAATCTTAATCGTCGGTCAGATAAAATAAAAATTTACATCGCCATTCGGGATTCCTTTCAAATATTCCGCGTAAAACCTCTACCGTCGTACCAATTAAAATTGCATTGACAAAATGGCCACCGATTCCCTTTTCGTACCGTTCACCTTTTATGTCAAACCGTTCGGCTTTTAGAACGTTTTTATTTTCTAACAAACACATAACTATTTTAATTTTAATTAGAATTTTTGTACTCAAATTCATCTTACTGACTTGTAATAATATATATATTTATTTTAAAATATTGAAAAGAAGACTTAAAATATTCTTCAACTTTATATATATGAAATATTCAAAGGAGTTGTATCAAAAGGTTTTATTTATGCCTTTACATTAGATACAGAGCACTACTCTAACAAAGGAGTCAAGATGCAAGTTTTTTAAATCCCCTAACATCTTTAGAGACGTACATCATTAAATTTTTCATATAACAAGCTCTTTGTAGAATTAGTATTTGTAGATTTGATGAAACAAATGTTTCCTTTTCATTTAAATATTGTTTAACAGAAACATCTTTATTTACAGATTAAGTTACGTAGTGCTATAGATAAAAATATATATATTCTTTTTATATAAATAGACATTCAATATTATATATACTGTCAGTAGAAAAAGATATGAAAACAAAGAGAATATTAAAAGATTTAAACTCCTAGAATTAAGTGTAGAGCCAATTATATTGTGGAGTAATTGTATCAGCTTCCATAGATTTTTAATAGTATTAATATAAATTCATATTACTACAAACTGTAAGTGCTACTAAAGTAGTTTTTTATTGACCCGGTCCACCACACTGGTAGGCGTTACTATTCATTACAAACTAATTCATCTATTGTGCCAGTGCCGGCTCGTTTGGTAGTGCCGCTGCGTCTCGTGAGCTTTGTGTAGACCAACCGAATATTACAAATAACGCTTAGTAATATTTAATATTAAAATTGTGTAATAATATAATATATGGTATACATTATTTTGTTTTATAGCAATGATTGAATCGAAATGTAATCATCTAAGTTTCAAGTCTAAAATTTCTTTGCATAAAATTGTAGGACGATTATTATTTATGTATAAGCAGTGCTATTATAATATCTTCTTCTTCCTGGCAAATTCCCAGATTTAGCCAGAGTCTGCCTATCTATAAATTGGTTGATTTGTATTTGTCTTAAAACATTCTCTATACTGTAATATTGGAGAGATCCAAACTTTAATGACCGCCACATGGCGCCTCTTCACGGTACAAAGTGAAATATGATAGAAAATGAAACTATTTCACGCCCTCGACTATTCTTTTGCCATTTGAAGTCTATTGAACTTCAATAGAACAGCTGTTTGTATTGAAGTGGCGTGAAATTTATAATGTAAAGCCGAATTCATTGGCAACTTGGAATATTTATTATACCACCAACATAATAATAAATTTATGAGATATATTGTTTTATTCAAGAATTGCAATAAATGACAATCTGAAAGGCTTTCATATAAAAAATATGATCAAGAAAACCAAAAAGAATGTATGTCCGTACTTAAATTAATTAAAGTTAAAATGTGATTAAAACCAGAGCAATAAAAAAGATTCATAATCAGTTATTGTATGATATTTTCACATATGACAATCTCAAATATACCTAATGGAAACATGTATTTGAAGAGATTTGAAAGATATTGTAAACTCATGTTGGATTTGATATCTGATTGTATGGAAACCCTGGTTTCTTTGCTCACACATACAACGAATCAATTAATTTTAACTACTGCTGTATATTATGTATAATTAAGAGAACAACTTAGAAACTGCTATTAAGTTTATCATTTTTAAATATAAATAATTATATCTTCATGCCATATATATATAGGTACCTATACATACTGTTATATGTACATATTTGTCGCAATTTTTATAGCTTATTCATTTTATACAGGCTCATATTTTTTATTGTCTTAGCGTCTCTACAGCCTTCTTATAAATTTTTTCTTCCAAAACCTATAGCTGTTTTATTGATTTAGTTTCCATTTAAGGCTCATTAAACACTTAAAACAGTACTAATGATAATATATAGTAC